AACCGCCAAGGATTTCACGGAAATTGATTGAGTGCAAGTATTTACAAAAAAGAAAAACATAATTATTATGTCAAAAACGATATATATTTTACTGAAAGTGTTAATATTAACGAAAGCGGATATCATGTCAAAGCATCCGGATTCAGACTCCATACAGGTAAGAGATTGCTTTCCATTTATGACCCATTTTTTTCTGCAAAGTTACTCGTCACTACTTTACAACGAGCTACACTTTCTAAATTTATTTAATTTCATATCATTAATATTATTAATAAGTAAAATTAAATATTTTTATAGCTAATAGTTCATTTAGTAAAACTGTTTATGATAATAAAATATATGTACTATATAATAATAACATAAAATCAAAATATATTAATAAAGACTCTTATGAATATCATACGAAGAAGGAGAAAGACAATTAAGAGCCAGCGCTGTAATTTATGCACATATGTTTTATTACGATCAAATTACATTGACATTTTAACTAACAATAAGTGATGATAAGCATAATCATAAAAAGCGTACGTTTCGGTTCTTTTTGGATCATGTTCAGCGCAATTACAAATAAAATATATTAAATTAAAAATATAATAATAATAATACAGAACAAGAATGTGTCACCCATGTTGTCAGAAAGCAAATGTTATATAATGGACCTCCGAGAAAGAGAAAGACCGTCCAATAAGAATTCTTATAACTAAATTTTGATTATAAGAATTTTTCTCGATAATGGTTATCCATTAAAGTTCATTTTTCAAATCTTTTATGCACGTCTTAAAACATTATTTAAAAAGTCGAAAAATAGAGAAATGGATATTAATCAGGCAACGAAGAGTGAGGCTTTTTCATATTTCATTACACCGTATGTTTCTTCTATATCCGAGCGATATATTAGTATTACAAGAAATCTTAATGTCAGATTATCCTATTGTAGTCTCAATAAATTACACAGTTACATTAGAGTTCAGAAAGACACTCTTTTTAAAGCCTCGTGCAGCAACATTATTAATAAAATTAATTGCAGTAATTGTAACGTCTCGTATATCGGTCAAACGGGCAGACAGTTACGTACAAGGATATCCAAGTATCGTAATCATATTAGATGGAATGCGACAAATTATTCTATTTTAATCGGTCACAGACTGGAATTTAATCACTATTTTGATTGGGATAAAGTTGAGATTTTGGATAGTGAACCTTTGCTTAAGAAACGCTTAATTTCTGAAATTGTGTACATTAAAAGGCAAAAAAAAGAGCCTTAATTTGTAGATAGAGAAAGAATGTTTATATTATACTTATATGGATGTAATCGATAAATTGCCGAAACTTTGAATGTCGCACCGTCTTATTTGTAACCATCCCTCTCTATTCATATTTATTTTATGTATCGTGTAATTTGAAGAGACTTGATATTCTGTCTCGAATATTTGTTGTTTGTAACATTTATCTTCTGTACAATATGACTCACTCAAGTTTAATATACTTCTATTACCAATTTCTTTTTTAATGTAGTATATTTTATTCGACGGTCTTTCTCTATCTCGAAAATTCATTGTATAACATTTGTCATTTGACAACATGGGTGACTCACTCTTGTTCTGTATATTATTATTATTATATTTTTAATTTAATATACATATTTCATTTACTTTGTAATTGTGCTGAAGATGGTCCAAAAAAGGACCGTAACGTACGCTTTTTATAATTATGCTTATCATCACTTGGTTAAAATGTCAAAGTAATTTGATTGTAATAAAACATATGCGCACAAATTACTGGCTAATAATTGGCTTTTAATTGCCTTTTTCTTTCTTTGTATGAAATAACATAAATCTATATAACATAAAACACTAGAAGCGTATGCGTGATATTATGAAAAAAGGGGATGCATAAATCTTGAAAATTTTGTTTAGAAATGGATGTTTTATAGTACAAAATTAAGCTTAATTAAGATGGTGTATTAAAACTTGACTATATTAGTTGCTTTCCATTTACATCAAAACTCAGATAATTCTCACTTGCGTTCTCTCTCGCTCGCACGTAACATACATGCGAGTGAGAGAGAACGCAAGTGAGAATTATCTGAGTTTTGATGTAAATGGAAAGCAACTAATATAGTCAAGTTTTAATACACCATCTTAATTAAGCTTAATTTTGTACTATAAAACATCCATTTCTAAACAAAATTTTCAAGATTTATGCATCCCCTTTTTTTCATAATATCACGCATACGCTTCTAGTGTTTTATGTTATATAGATTTATGTTATTTCATACAAAGAAAGAAAAAGGCAATTAAAAGCCAATTATTAGCCAGTAATTTGTGCGCATATGTTTTATTACAATCAAATTACTTTGACATTTTAACCAAGTGATGATAAGCATAATTATAAAAAGCGTACGTTACGGTCCTTTTTTGGACCATCTTCAGCACAATTACAAAGTAAATGAAATATGTATATTAAATTAAAAATATAATAATAATAATATACAGAACAAGAGTGAGTCACCCATGTTGTCAAATGACAAATGTTATACAATGAATTTTCGAGATAGAGAAAGACCGTCGAATAAAATATACTACATTAAAAAAGAAATTGGTAATAGAAGTATATTAAACTTGAGTGAGTCATATTGTACAGAAGATAAATGTTACAAACAACAAATATTCGAGACAGAATATCAAGTCTCTTCAAATTACACGATACATAAAATAAATATGAATAGAGAGGGATGGTTACAAATAAGACGGTGCGACATTCAAAGTTTCGGCAATTTATCGATTACATCCATATAAGTATAATATAAACATTCTTTCTCTATCTACAAATTAAGGCTCTTTTTTTTGCCTTTTAATGTACACAATTTCAGAAATTAAGCGTTTCTTAAGCAAAGGTTCACTATCCAAAATCTCAACTTTATCCCAATCAAAATAGTGATTAAATTCCAGTCTGTGACCGATTAAAATAGAATAATTTGTCGCATTCCATCTAATATGATTACGATACTTGGATATCCTTGTACGTAACTGTCTGCCCGTTTGACCGATATACGAATCGTTACAATTACTGCAATTAATTTTATTAATAATGTTGCTGCACGAGGCTTTAAAAAGAGTGTCTTTCTGAACTCTAATGTAACTGTGTAATTTATTGAGACTACAATAGGATAATCTGACATTAAGATTTCTTGTAATACTAATATATCGCTCGGATATAGAAGAAACATACGGTGTAATGAAATATGAAAAAGCCTCACTCTTCGTTGCCTGATTAATATCCATTTCTCTATTTTTCGACTTTTTAAATAATGTTTTAAGACGTGCATAAAAGATTTAAAAAATGAACTTCAATGGATAACCATTATCGAGAAAAATTCTTATAATCAAAATTTAGTTATAAGAATTCTTATTGGACGGTCTTTCTCTTTCTCGGAGGTCCATTATATAACATTGTTGCTTTCCATTTACATCAAAACTCAGATAATTCTCACTTGCGTTCTCTCTCACTCGCATGTATGTTACGTGCGAGCGAGAGAGAACGCAAGTGAGAATTATCTGAGTTTTGATGTAAATGGAAAGCAACTATTATCTTTGTGTCTAGAAATAAGTATTTTTAGCATCAATAACATTTTCTGTTTATTCTCCGCGGAATTAATACATACATATAGTTAGGTATACTTGAACTGATTTTTATGTGATTTTTTTTTAATTACTAAGATCTCTTTATTTTTTTAAATATTTATAACCATTTGTTAGTATAATATTAAGTAATATAATAAAAGTTGTACTAAATTAGTTTTTATTTTACAAAATTAATTTAGTCAGTATTATTTTTTTTTTTATGTTAAGAATAGTTATATATGTATATACATATATAACAGAAAAGAACTACTAAATATTGAAACAAAGTCGAGTATCGGTATAATGGAATTTCGAGTTGTATCAATTAATCCTAACAATAAAGCCAATGGTCACAGAAATTAACAATATACGTAACCAGCCAATTTTTTGCTATGCCTTCGATTTTCGTATATACATCTATTATATAGCTATATATATACATATACATACGATCTTACCCAGGTAATGAAAGTTAATTATATTATTGTGTTTTCCAAAATTTGTTTGTGTTAAAAAAATATAATGATAACCGAAAAGAAATTTGACAAAAGTTTAAGTACAAGAATTTATATAATTTCTATGACCATAAAAGACAATTTTTATAACATTTATATTCTTAAAGAACGAACGTTATTGAAACTTTAATGATAACAAATAAATTTTTGAAAAGAAAAGTCATATTAAAGTAAAGTCATTTGTTTAGAGAAGTTAACTAACTTATCGTAAAAAATCAAATCATTAAACAACATTGTTTCAACAATCGAAAAGAATTACACTTTCATGTATTATCTGCTAAGAGAAGCGGTTGTGAATTCTTAGTAACCCTTATTAATTTATTCTGCGTGACTTTGAGTTATCACACACAAATTGATATCATAGCAGACCGTCTGTGAATCAACGAGCATCGAGCATTGAATCACCACATATTGATTTATATAACATGTTCATTAATCCAAACGATCTTATTGACCTCTATTTGATGCAACATATCTCTTTCTCTTTGATATAAGAATCATGTTTGATATGCAAGAAGATGTCTTGAAACACAATAAAACCAGATTCGAAAAGAAATGTAACACATTGTATTTAACACATTATCAACCAGGAATATAAAGAATAATATTAAACCGATATGATTAAACAAATAAGCAATTTTATGGCAATTTTACTTATTTGTACATATATTATTTATCATTAAAAGTACCAGAAGTAGCCGCGTTTTTGGCCCAGGATGCTTACTTAATTCTTTTCTTTTTATGTTATACTTTATCAAGGATATTCAAAACAACAACAATTCATCATTAACAACGGATCATCCTGATAATGGTGAGTATAAGAAACGAAATTAATGAGATTCCACTTGCAAATGTGATCTCAGAATCTGTTGGTAAGTTGCAAAGAAATGCATAAATCGTTAAAAAGAAAAGTCTACGATAAAAAGAGATTGTAAAAATTATTTACATTTAAGAGAAAGAGAGTAAAAATAAAATCTAAAAAGAAATATTTTTCAACAGCGAGAAGAATGTATGAAAATTTCATTTTTCTGCAAAAGAAAAATAAAAATCCACATATTGTATGTAAAATTATTAAAGATTTAATATAAAGCAGTTAATTATATTATTTAACTTTGCTATTTTTTTAGAACAATCGCAAATATTATACTTCTGATTGCTTAATCAATAACATTTTTCCGAAAAATGTTTAATACTTCATTAAAAACTTTATATTTGTTTCTGTTCTGGATTAACAACTATTTTTTTGAGTCTTATAAAATACGCAAGCTTTTTTGTATTATTATATTATTTTAAAAGTTAACACTTATGCTAATTTCTATATTTTATAATTTACCTCTATTTTTTTTCTTGCTTTTATTTTTATTTTAAATTGTTTTTTTCCAAATTACTGAAATAATCGATTAATGTTCTTGTATATAATTATGCCAATATGTATAATTTAAAAATTTCTAGAAAGCATTTTGAGCAAACCAACATCTCCCAGAGCATTTGTAGAGTTCCATAATAGATTCCTAAATGAAGAAAACATTTCTGTGACATTTAGGTAAAAAATCTAAATTCTCAGTCTGTATTCTTTTAAATTTAACGACACATATATACAAAAACGTTGATTCTGTTATAATTTTACTAAATATAAAAAGGCGGAAAAATTATTTATTTTTTACAGATGGAATCAACCTGAATTCACAAACGAAGTAATACAAGGATACACAGTGCAGTATTGGTCCACCGAGAACAAAAAAAAGATTCAAATTTGCATAAACAAAAATATCTCAACTACAATATTGGAGTGCACGGTGCATAATCTAAAACCTAACACGATGTACTTCTTTCAAGTACAAGCGAATACTAAAGTTAGTGCTGGCCCTTACACAAATTTGATTCATGTATCGACTACGCACGAAAATCCAATACCGCAATTATTGATAGTATCGGGAGATACGATCGATAAATGGGATCTGGATTCAAATATTAACATTAATCTCATGAGCGAACCATTTACGACGATAATGGGTGCCACTTATTCGATAGCGGAACATAAAATTTATTGGATCAACGTTATGGGAGAACTAAAAATATTGGATATAAATGAACACAAAATTACAAAAATAGCTAACCTTCAAGGTATTGCGTACCATCTCTGCATTGACTGGGTAGCAAGAAATCTGTACTGGATGGAAATAGACGAGTTAAATTTTGGTGTCATCATAAAGTTCGACTTAGAAATGTGGGAAAATGGCATAGTCAAATATAATAAGATTTCAAAAATAGGTCCCTCCATATTTATTGAAAATTTAAATGTACTACCATCTACAGGGTATGTTAACTTTCATCCAATTGAAATAATCAAACAATATTTTCATTAAAAATTTGTATTAATTTGTAATTTTTCAATAATTTTATATGGCTTTATAATTAAGATCAAAAGTTATTAAAAAATAATAAATTAATACAAAATAGAGGAATTTTAAATATTTACTATATATAAAAGCTTTTTTCTGCTATTGTTATAATAATGTTTTATAATAAGTAAAGTAATGCATATATTTTTTAGAAATTTATATTGGATAAATTACACTACATATGATAAACTTGATGTAATACAATCGGATCTTGATGGAAAAAACACTCGAAAGCTTCAGAAAAATTTATCTGTTATATGCCCTTTCCCACTGAATAATTTTACTTTACAAGCCATAAAAATTGACGACATCAATACTAAGAAGCCGCTAATTTACTGGCTAACGCCAAAGCTCTTCTTTGTGACAGACATTAACGTTTCTACGTGCACGTTGATTTTACGAGACGAAGAAACCGACATAATATATTTCGGATCTTTAATGATTGACAAGACAAATATTTACATTTCTAACAATAATCATATACATGTTTTGAAAAAAAGTATGCACTTCTCGAGAGCGTAAACGCATTCAAAAACATCCAAAAAATAAAAACGTCTTCCAGGATTGATCAATTGTATGCTTTCGGTGAATCTTTGCAACGGTATCCTCCAATAAGATGTCTGACACCTGACAAAAAAAAATACAACATGGAAATACTGATGGTAACGGCGAACAGTATCATCATAAATCTTCCGGAACCGGTCTTCAAGAGTGGATGCAAAAGATACAACTTACCTACCATTCTATACACTATCAACATAAGCTATTGTTTGGACAATGAGCTTAATAAATTCGATAATTACACCATACGGACGTGCGAGCGACTTTACGAGATTCAGAATTTAAAGCCGCTTACACAGTATCAGTTACTGCTAACCCTCAGCAATTTTTACTCTGTTCGGTTATCGATGGACCCGTTATTCGGCTCGAAAGTGATACTGATAACTAAACCGAGCAAAGTCGATTTATTAGACGCACCGGAAAATGTGACAGTTGAAGCTCTGACGCCTACTAAAGCGGCAGTTTATTGGATGCCGCCCAAGAAACTGAACTGCGTGCCCGTGACCTACAAAGTATACTGGACATCAATTAATTTGATAAACAATACACGAGAGATAAGCAAGTTCTTACTTATCAATAAAACCGAACATAAGATAGACAGTATGTTAATCGAACCGTTGATACCAGGACAGAAATACAGGGTGTATGTACGCTTGTATCCAGCGAACTTCACCGATCATTATAATGACAGTTTGAACAAAACCTTGTACATGTATTCCGAACCAAACAACATAATTTTGAACGAGATTAGCATAAATAGTATGAATATCTCGTGGATTCTTAGCGTTAATTTGACAATTAATTACGTATTAGAATACAAGAATGTTGATATTGAGAGACAGGAGTGGCAAATTGCAAACAATTCTAAGCAAAATAATGAGGGGGAAGTAATGTACTATATAAAAAACTTACTACCAGGAACTCAATACGAGTTTCGTTTGATACTGAGATACCCTAAGTACGAGAAAGACTTTATATGGCCGTCTGATGGAAGATTTACTTTTTCAACACTGAGTAGCAACATAAGTAAGCAAATGAAAATTTCATAACATTGTATGCACCGAATTAGCGATTCTACAGGAGATGCCTGACGGCCTACTCGTTCATTTCAATATGTCATACAATCCTATATTGCAGTATGATTCGGATGAATATGTATTGATCAGAATCACACGTGAACAAATCAAACTAGAACAACTTTTAGGCAGCGGCGCATTCGGAATGGTAAAAACTAATTATTTTAATGCAATGTCATACGCTATTAATTTTTAGATCAACATAAATTGAAACAGATACACATTTTTCGATAAAAATAATTATATGAATAACTTTTTATAAGAGATTATAATGCAAGATTTTTGTGAGATAACATACATATGCACTCTATTATATATTTCTCGTTAAATCATTTAATACAAAAAATGAAATAATGTTATTTGACATTAAACTACATATTTTTTAATGAAGTATAAATTTAAATTAATTTCAAATATTTTGCAGGTATACCAAGGAAAAGTGAAGAATTTAGGAAGAACGGGCATAGAGATACCCGCTGCCGTAAAAATGCTTCGAAAAAATGCTTCTTCGCACGAAAGAAAAATGTTTTTAGAAGAGGCCAGACTTATGAAGTATTTCCGACATAAACATGTGCTAAGATTGTTGGCCATCTGCTTAGACCCGGAAATTCCATCAATCGTGTTGGAATTAATGGAAACTGGTGATCTGCTACAATATTTGAGAGATAGTCGAAAATTGCAACCGTCAGATTCACAAGCTCTGCGTCTGCCAGATTTATTCGCCATATGCGAAGATGTTGCGCGAGGCTGTCGCTATCTCGAAGATCTACGTTTCGTTCACAGGGATCTCGCGTGTCGAAACTGCTTAGTATCCGCGAGAGATCGCGAGAACCGTATCGTCAAAATCGGCGATTTTGGATTAAGTAGAGATATTTACAATAGTGACTATTACCGCAAGGCAAATACAATTATTTTTAAATAAAATTTTTTTAAATGTTTGTATGTTCTTTTCTTGTCGTAATAATATAGTGCATTTTTATTTTAAATAGAAAATTTATTTAAAATAAATTATTTCTATTTATATAAAGTAAAAAATAAGTGGACGTTGTTCATTTTAGTATAAATACTTAAAAAATGGAAAATTTCAAGATTAACTTTGCTAAAATCACATGTTTTAGAAAGGACAAGAACTGCTTCCTATTCGCTGGATGGCACCGGAATCTTTAGTGGTCGGAATATTTACTTCCCAGAGCGACGTTTGGTCATTCGGGGTTATAATTTGGGAAATTACATCGTTGGGTGAGCATCCTTACACTGGCAGGACTAATCTGGAAGTGATAGATTATGTACGCACTGGAGGCAGGTTGCCGATGCCTCTAAATTGTCCACCGACCTTGTACGAGTTGATGCTGCGTTGCTGGAGTTCAGCGAATGATAGACTGAACTTCAAACTCTGTCTCAAAAATATTATAGCTCTAAGAAATAACATAGAAGATATTTTACTGAGTTCAATGGATATTATCTAGCCGATAAAATTTGATTAATTAATGATGATATATTCCAAATGATTCAATGAGAAGTTTAACGTAGGAAAAATAATTGTAAATAACCCATACAGCACAGATCATTGCGATTATATTGCAGCAACATTTTGCAGTGAATTTGCAAAGTTGCAATATTGCGGTGAAAGATTGCTACAATATGTATGCAATCTTTGTGTGCTGTATGGGAACTAATATTTTACCGTTTTCAAGTTTAATCTTAATATGTTAGATTTATCGATAAAAATAAAGATATTTTTCAATCATACTTTACAAAATTTTGATGATTAGAAAGCACAACACTTGTTCTTGCAACTGTAAACAATGTGATGCTTATGTTAATACTTTTAAATAATTGAAACAAAACCTCTTTCTCTAATGGTTCTGATTACTATAATTATCGGTAGATTGCTACAGTAATTTTAGAAATAATGTCTATTTCATATTATATTAGCACTCCTTTTTATATTATATTATTTCTTACATAAATGCCTTAATAAAATATACAATCATATTACATTAATATATATAACATTTTTTAATATTAATACATAATATAGAAGAATTAAATTTTATAATGTGTACATTTTTTTAATTTTCTGGATTTTTTTATTCCCTTTGTTTTTCTTTTACTCAAAATCTGGGTGTACAACTGAATTGATTTTAAGCGCAGAAATATTTTTAAAAATGCAGATAAAAAAGAGAATATAGCAAATCACTCAAATGTATTATGAAGAAAAGATAATTCTCTTAAACACGACCAAATTCCGGTTAAGTTCGATCAGCGATAAATTTAACTGAGATAGCAACTTTAAAGTCGTATCGTTCCTAATCTCTTCTTTCCCATATACCAAACAACAAAGAAATTAATAATTACATTTCTAACAATGAAAAAATAATGCACATATCGTTGATGAGCCGATTAAATTAATTGGAATTTGATCTGGAGGTGGACTCTCACACAGCCTATATCTTGCGCGGCAATCTGTCATTCGTTGTCGAAATATTTCGCTATGATATATGCGCGGAATATTAAATTATACAAGTATTTTAAATTATAGATTATTTATTTATTAAACGATTGATGTATCACAAAGCTCTTCGTTAAGTTAATAACTCGATCTTGCGATTCGATTGTTTAATTGCGCGTTCTCAATCCGAATCATATTTAGATCGCCAAAAAGTTGAACGGTAAAGTATCGAAATATTTAACTTTAAATATTGTTATAGAAATAATTATTGCCCATAAGAGAAGTTCGCAACAAAACAATATTTTATTGTTTTGTAATTTGTGTCACTACGTTTTTTACTTGATTAAGTATATAAATTATGCGAAATATGCTCTTCAAAATTTGTTGTTGCAATATGTGTATACTCCGTCCAAAGAGAGAATGACTTCGGTCCAAACGAAAACTCGTCCGTTTTGCGCAGGTCTCCACCCACAGAAGCCGTATCTACGTATACGGTATTGAGTATCTCGCCATGTTCTCCCCACTTTGCCCGCTTATGCGCGGACCGAGGTCATTCTCTCTTTGGACGTAGTATATACACACAGGATTATTTCGTACAATTCTGATTTCTAATTTCTTCCCAGCAAAACGATGGGTGTATCGAGGCCGTGTCATTGGCTTCTCGCTGCGGTCGTCCTGAGTCTCTTCTCGAGCTTGATGGTGAGCGAGACGCGGCAGCTCGCGAACTTGGATTCCCCGGCCATCGGCGTGCTAAGAGACGAGACGAATCGCACTAGGGGGTTGGCGGCGATTCGCCGGCGAAGATATGTGCGATTTCCTACGGGATCCGCTGCTTACCTCGCCGACGTGGGTGGCGGTCCACCTGCGTCGCAAGGCAGGAATCTCGGGCCGATCGCGCGTTTCGTCCCCCAGTTACCCGGTACGTGGAGGCAGCACAAGTCCCTCTGGAGGAGCCCCGTAATCGCCGATTACAACAGGCCGGTGATGTCCCATCGGACACCGCGATTGATATTCCGCGACAACGACTTCCTGCCGCCGATCGGAGGCGGCGGAGCCTCTTTCTTCCAGCAGTCTAATCAGTTGCCGGAATTCGAGGATGACGTCAGAGGTAAGAGCCTTTTCTTTTTCCTCGTTTTAATTATGTGCGATTGTATACGCGTTCTTCAATCGTTTTCGTTTCTATTGCGTTTGAAATTCAAATTTAATATTTTGTGTTCAAACTGACTCATAATTAGATCCTCTTATTATTTTTATTTCTCATGTTGCAATTTTTAATATGCATTGTTGCACTAAAAGCTGAAGATTATTTTCTTGGCGAATTATAAAATTATAATCTCACAATTTCTCTAATATTTAAACGATCTTAATGAAAAAATACTTTATTATAGTGTTTTGAAAAGCTCTCGAGATAAGCTACAAGAATATGCAATAAAAAATGGGGAGTTCCATTTAAGAAAACATCGATCACATTGTCCTCACCTTAAAAAGGCCACTCAAGGTCAAGTCCATATTTTTATCATGTGGCCTCCTCAAGCAACTTTTGTCTGAAACATTTTTGTCTATTGGGCTCAGCTTTTGAGATATTTGTGTGGATTGATTAAAATGGTCCATCCTATATACATATATATATATAGCAGGTATATAAATATGAAACCGGAATTTGCCCATACAGATACGGCTTCTGTGGGTGGAGACCTGCGCGAAACGGACGAGCTTATGCGCGGACCGAGGTCATTCTCTCTTTGGACGGAGTATAGTTACATATTATTTATGAATATTGATTACTCATTAATGATATTAATAATATCCAATTATACAAATCTTAGAAAGCGTAGTTTTTTTTTAAACAGGAACGAGTATCTTCACAGAAGAAAATAAGTGCAGCAAATAAAAAATCATGATTCAGCAAAAATGTTTAATTTAAATTGATTATTTGGATTCAGTTACTGTGATTTATAATGTTCATCAATCACAAATACGCAAGCGTGTTATGTATCGCTCGATTCAAACCTCATGATACAAACGTTACAGTCCGTCAAGAACGACGTGCACGAATAATGAGCCCTCAAGAGCACGCATAGTATGTATATATGTATATATATATATTTATAATATTTTACGAGATATGTTATATTTTTTATATCAAAATATGTTAGATTAAAATATAAAATAACCCAAAAAGTAGTTAATGAAAAAATACTTTATTATAGTGTTTTGAAAAGCTCTCGAGATAAGCTACAAGAATATGCAATAAAAAATGGGGAGTTCCATTTAAGAAAACATCGATCACATTGTCCTCACCTTAAAAAGGCCACTCAAGGTCAAGTCCATATTTTTATCATGTGGCCTCCTCAAGCAACTTTTGTCTGAAACATTTTTGTCTATTGGGCTCAGCTTTTGAGATATTTGTGTGGATTGATTAAAATGGTCCATCCTATATACATATATATATATAGCAGGTATATAAATATGAAACCGGAATTTGCCCATACATGGCCCTAGCTGTCAATGTAGTTACCGTCAAACCGCGTCATTGGTGCCATTTTCTTGTTTTGACATCTGATAAAGATTTTCAACTCACAACAATACAAGTTTCATACAACAGCATAGTTTTTAATAGCGTTGAACATGTCGAATTTTGTGCCTGGAAACTACGATTTGCGGACAGCATTGATTTTCTGTTACCATTTGAAGAAAACTGCTGCAGAATCGCATCGAATGCTTGTCGAAGTTTACGGTGAGCATGCTCTTGGTAAATCACAGTGCTTTGAGTGGTTTAAAAAAATTTAAAAGTGGCGATTTTGACGTGAGAAACAAAGAACGTGGAAGAAGGGTGTGATCTATTATGAGCAGCTAAAACATGGCGAAACCGTTAATACTGAACGCTACCAACAGCAAATGATCGATTTGAATCAAGCTTTGCGTGAAAAACGACCAGAGTATCAAAAAAGGCAACACAAAGTGATTTTGCTTCATGATAATGCACCATCACACACAGCAAAACCGGTCAAGGAAACGATTGAGGCGTTTAGTTGGGAAATACTTTCGCATGTGGCTTACTCACCAGACTTGGCTCCATCCGATTACTATTTATTTGCATTGATGGGACACGCACTTGCTGAGCAGCACTTCACTTCTTACGAAAATGTACGAAAATGGCTCGATGACTGGTTTGCCTCAAAGGAGCAACAGTTTTTTTGGCGTGGCATCCACAAATTGTCAGAGAGATGGGAAAAATGTATAGCTAGCAATGGGCAATACTTCGAATAAAATATTTTTTATCATTTTCATACAATAAACGTGTATTTTCTATACAAAAATTCCGGTTTCATATTTATATACCTGGTATATATATATATGTAAAAGAAACAATTGTCACAAAATTGCAGTTTTTAACAAAAAATATAGAAAATATATATAATCTGATAAATCTCAAGCGCATGAATAGTGACAAAACTAAAGATTTATGATTCAGTAATTTTCTTATTGTCTATAATTTTATCGTATAGATTAATACGCAAAATAGAGTCATAACCACATTATTGTCTCACAAAATACACACACACATACATATATACACAGGCGATTCATAATTAAACTTTAATCAAGACGAACGGCGGGGCAGACTTATGGTATCGTCGATGGGTTAATTCATGGTGCATTAGAGTTCGTGCATTCCACCGGCAAGTTTAATGGATACCAGTTTCTAAAGAGGGAAGGAGATCCACCTTTCTCCAACATTCTCTCCTCTCTCTTCCATCCCCCTTGCGTACTTTGAACGCACGAAACAAGCGGGACAATCTCGCGAGGTCCTGCGGCAGATTTCGCATAATCGAGCGAGAGCGACCGTAATCAGGCATTGTCAAAGTAATAACAGTCCGAAAGAGAAAGAGATAGATAGATAAATAGAGAGCATGGAATACCGATGAAACGCATTAATCCATCCGATATGCTAGACTTTCACCAGAAGCGAAGCAGCGATATTGCTCAAAGCATTCACGATGATTAAGTGTAGTATTGATGAAGTTACGAAACTCACTCATTCATTAATCAACAGGCTGGGACACTTAGACCGCAATTTATATAAATACAGTTATAATGTCTAAATTAAAAGTGTGAAAAAGAGGATTTTATGATATAAAGAATATTAAAATATTTTTCTTATGTACGTGTGTATTTAAATTCATCTTATTTTGCATTTCTTGAGTTTTCGAGATATGTGTGTATGTGATTATATATATCTCATTTATTTGTTTAGAAGCACCATTTTTTTGAAAATACCTTTAATTGCAATTGAATGAATTATTTATTGTGTGTTAATTATTGTGTTCTTGCTTATAATTATTTAAACTCAGTATATGAAAACTCAACGTTAATTTTCCATAGGTTACAATTTAAATAAATGCAGTTATAATGTTTAAATTAAAAATGTGTAAAAGAAAATTTTGCAATATTATGATAAAATATTTTTTTTATGTGTGTTTAAATTCATCCTAGTTTACATTTCTTGAATTTTTGAAATGTGTGTATGTAATTATATACATATATCTCATTTA